TTGGACTAACTCCACAATTATAGTAACATACAATACCTCCTGTTAGTTTGCAAGGAACAACCTGGTGCCTTGAACTCTCATTCAGTGGTTCAATACTTAACCTGGGATGACTATATTTCTGCTAGTCATCCCTAAGCATGGATATTAATACGGCTCCATACATATAACCAAGAACAGTGGGTAGACCATGATCATATGACGGAGTCAGTAGGCCAGAGTTGTTTACAGGCTCGCTCGCTAGCTCGGAGCGCCTGGCCCAGGAAAAGTTGACTGTGGCGGTGGGCCGTGGCGTCTGCCAAGGAATCTCGCCCTGGGATTCTCATCTCGCCACCTGAAAGACGTCTTAAGGCTAGCTAGATCCAGGATTAATATTTACACATTTTATATCCTTTCCAATCAGATTCTTTAAGAAGGCCCAATCCTCCTGCACAGATTCCCATTTCCTCAAAAGTTTTTCTTTATCAGCATCTTTACACTTTACCAACACCTTTTTAAAACTTTCAGTTGTTGCTCCCTGCGCTACACAATCCTTTATTTTCCTCTCCTTCCCTGTAATACTTATTTTAAGCACTGAATTTTTCAAAGGCTTGAGCTCTTCACTTTCCTCTTTCCCTTTTAATTCTACATTATTCACAGCTTTGTTTTCCCTTTTTTTATTTATCACTGTATCAAGTCTTTTCTCTATCACTTCTATTTTCTGACCTAACTTTTGCAAAAGCTGAAACATCTTAAGCACCTCTTCTCCCAGAATTTCTTGCACAGTTTTATCACTAACCTGGAGGGCTGCACCACTACTCTCACTTGCTACTTGTTTATTACTCTCTTTGTTTCTGGCATCAACAACGCTTCCGGCCGCAAGCGCAGTCCTTATCCTTCTTGAATCTTCATGCCAGGCATTCTCAGGAATCACTGTCTGTGTGTTCTCCTGCTGTCTTGTCACTGTCAGACCACAGCGTACTTCCTCAGTGTTCTCTGAATAATTCCTTTGTTGGTCACTTCTCATACGTGGCCTCATCTCGCATGCAATTGAACTAGCATTGTGAGTTTTACCACACTTACAACAACAAAGCTTCACTTTCTCTCCTGCTTTGATCTTGTCCTTACAGTTGCTAGATTCGTGCCTCTTCCCACAGAATCTACAACGTGGGTCCAGTTGACAGCTCCAGGCCTTATGTCCCCATCTGCAACACTTGAGACACATTATTGGTCCCTCCACATATAGTGCCACCTTCCTATACCCTGCTCCTGTGATGAACACTTTCTCTGGAACCTTTCCTCTCATTAGAGCAATAACCTGGCTTCTCTCTTCGCCCCTTATTAAATGCCTCTTGACCCAAACAAATCTTTCGTCATCCAATAAGTATTCTGGGTCTAGTATTACAGGGTACCTGAAGATTATAACCTTTGTAAGTAGTATGTCGCTCTCCTCTGGCAAAACCATCAGTAATCCCTTGTACCCAACAGTTGTAACATTTCCACAGCCTCCATGGTCCCCACTGTAAGATAAGGCTTGTGTGTGCCTTCTTTCAAAAGAGGCTCAAAGCTGCGATGCTCCCGTCCTAGTTGTACTGCCCATTTTAATTTTTCAAGGAAGGTCATCGGGCATGACTGTGGAAAAATTAATCTCTTCCAGACACGACCAACTTCACCTTGTGTGTGTTCTTGTCTGCTTCCTTCAAATTCCATACTTTGCTCTGTTCTTGATCCATTCTCCACTATCTCCTTTCTGTTATTTCCATTATTATTACCACCCACACACGTTTTTTGTCCTAGATGATTTTGTCTCTTCTCCTCTCTCACTTCTTTGCTTTCACTGTCCTCATGCCAGCTTGTCTCCCTCATTGTTTTAGAATTTTCTTTCTTATTCACTACCTCTTGTTGTAGCTGTATTTTCTCACTTTCGAACTTCCCTTGTGCTTCATCACTCGTATTAGACTCATCACTACTCAACTCAAGGTCTTCAAGAACTTCGTCTAATACTATCTTTTCTTTACTCTTCCATGTAGAGTTCTTAAGCGAAAATTCACTTTCCGTGGGGCAATGTTGACATCCCACAACACCCAGCCAGGAGTGATGGGACCCCGAGCAGTTATTTTTGTAAGGTAAACAGTAAGTTCCCAACACTAAAGTTGCTTGACGATACTTATCTTATCCTCGGGTCCTTATACACAAGTAGGTAAGTCTATATATCCTTCAGTTAATGTAATAAGCTCGAAAACATCCCAAATTTGGGAGCTAGCGCTCACAGCTGTGTTTACCGGACCAAAAAAATGGCCGCTCCGTCGTATGTCGAGTAGGTCGTAAGTCGAGGAGTAGCTTTATTTAACTAATGATAACAGAAAAAGTGATTTCTTTAATGTTTTGTTTTTGTGTTTTAATGTTTTGTCTGTGAGTCGGTTCTCGTCTTCAACGTTTAGGTCACGAAGGAGGCTTAAATATATCTAGAAAAAAAGTTTTTGCTCCTGTGTAAATATCATAATAAATTTGCACTGTCCTCTGATTGGTCACAGCAGAGAGATTTAAATAATAAATCCCGCAAAATTGTGCCTCTCTCCCGGCAGCACGATAGGAATCCGTCGAGATCGTCGCAGTTTCGTTCTACGTCGGTCGCGTCCACGAAATGTAAACACTATTGGACGCGTACGAAACCGGGTATGCCGATTCGGTTTTTGTTGGTCCATCGCAAGAAGTTAGGTAGTTTAGATTAGGTTAGGTAGGGTTTTCAATGTTGTTTTTTTAACCCTTCATGTTGAAAGTCTAACTCACTTTGGAAGATTCATTGTTTTTGTTAGTGTAAGGAAATTAAGATCATATTTATTTATTAGAAAAAATCCAAATAAAAACTTGTAAAACTATCGTTTTGGCCGTGCAGCTATTTTCCGAAGGTCATAAAAGTTGAAAATACATCAAAAACCATTGGAACAAGATTATTTCAACCTAACCTAACCTATTTGAGTAATCAGTTTCTCCACGTGGTACTAAACAAACAAGTGCCTTTATTATAAGTGTACGAAGATGTTATTTGACCACGATTCTGGGCCAAATAACCGTCGGCCATTTGACCGGGACCTGCGGGGATCGTATAGGATTGTAGTCGGGATGGTTGGGGGCATTAAACAAGTCATTACATTATGGTATTATTTAATTGTATAATTTCTGTTGACAAAAGGATTTAGTTTTATTTTAGATCTCTGTCAAATAAGCGGCGGTTATTGTGCCGAGTACCGGTCAAATAATCCCTGCCTATAATATAAGAGTTTTACAGTGTTGTGTATTATATAGCTATTGGTCACATTTCCAGGAAGCTTCAAGGACCAACAACACATCTCGGTACGACAAGTCGAGACTCGACCGTACAGACCCGTCCGGTCTCGCACACGACGCCGTTAACGGCAAACGGAGAAACGCCGCTGGGAGGTAATACCGACGTCGTCACTTCACGTCGTGTCACTGGGCGTACGAGCCGAGTGTATTAGAGTACAGGTTGTACCTCTCTAGTCCGGCATTCTGTGATCCGGAACGATTTTAGTTTGTCCAATAGGTAGATAGGCAGCTTTTTTTTTTTTTTAATCTTGATTATTATTATTATTATTATTATTATTACAGGAGTATTAAATTTTTGCCCCTCAGGCCCCAATGTGGGTCAGTGACCTATGCCCGGGTGGGCTAATCCCCGTAAAAAAACAACAACGACAAAGCCGGGGGAAATTAAGGTTTGTTTACATCCGGCAGCTCTCTCTCTGTGCTTGTCTATACAGAGCATAACATTTAACCCTTCAATATATATTCTAGCAGTAAATAAGTGTTGCTTTCATATTCTTAAGTAGAGTAACGACGACATGTTTTCACGTGTGCGCACTTACATACGCTCAGTTTCACTTTTTTTTTACCATTGATGGTTAGCTACTTATATTGTTCCATTTATTAACATTAAATAACATTACTTCAAACAAGCATATTAATTTTTTTACATTAATTTTACTACAGCTACAATCAGGGTCTTATTTTCTTCAGTTTTATATGTAGAACCAATCTGTCACCGGTTTTGTAAGCTTTAACAAAAACAATGCCGGCAGCCGTCTCGTCTCGTCGCGCGTTTTAATATTACACGTATTAGTAATAAATTGTATTGTTAATTTTGCACACAAACATTAATTCAATAAAAACAAATTCAGAAACATTAATTAAAATATATATGAACAGTAAATAAGTGTTGCTTTCACATTCTTCTACCGTTAAAATCAATAGCGTCTACGTTTTCAAAGTCTTCCTCCTTCTGTTATTATTAACATTACTTAAAAGAACCATATTAATTTTTCTACAGCTACAACCAGGGTCTTATTTTCTTCAGTTTTATACGTAGAACCAGTCAGTCACCGGTTTTGTAATCGACGAAAACGGTGCCGTCTCATTTCCTCGCGTTTTAATATTGAGCGTATTATTAATGAATTGTATTGCTCATTTTGCACACACTAACATTAATTCAATCCAAAAGACTTTCAGTAATAAATAATAATGAATCTTTCGTACATAAGAGAAATAACGCCGTTTTCACGATCTTGCACGTCGTCCTAACGTCGGCGGGCCATTCAAACCCGTCGAAATTTGAGTTTCCGCCGTCAAAAGTTTTAAATGTGTCGGTTTTTTTTGTGCGTTCAAATAGAAAACGTCGAATTAAAAACTCGCGAAATTTGAGAAGGTACTGTACGACATTTAACCCTTCAATATGTCTTCAAAGAGACCACGAAGCAGAGAAAGTGGTGCTAGTGCTTCCAAGTGTAAACAGAAGTCACTATCTGTCCAGGAAGAGGGCGAATTTCCACGGTCGGGAAATTTCCGGCGTCCGACACCGGTCGGGTCCCGTGGTTGCCGGACCGGAGAGGTACAACCTGTACTTGTATTTCAGTACACTTGTACAGTAATCCTATAAAAGTGGGCATTTATGTAAATGTTTGTGCGTAAAGTCGCGTCCCATTGGCGTCGGCGGTACGCGACACTTCCAAAATATGGCCCAGATTCACGTTTTCCATCCCATACCCAATTTTGAATGTGTGTTTATTTCGTGTTTCTTTAAAGTACAGTACAGTATATTAATAACTTTAAGTTTCGTTTTCAAAACATAATGTCATTGTTTATTAATTATGATACTCTATATATGCTGTGGTACTCTAAATACTTTTTTCTACTTATATGAATCAGTTGAGTTGAGTAAACTTTTATTTGCATAGTTTTGAAGAAGACTACAGGACATAGTTTAAATTTTTACATATCAACAGTGCAGTACTTTATCTTAAGTAATATTTTCAGGCACTTTCTCCAACACTGCCTACAGTGGACCTGATGTGAACTAGAATGAAGTTGGCTGGACATGAAATTTACTGGACCTCAAGTAGTCTGTGGTATTGTATTTAATATTGTTGTGGTACTTTGAATGTTAGGAAAGTTCTACAGGCATTCCCCAGTTTGTAAGAGTACTGTGTCTTATAAAAACCTATGGTAAATCGAATCAATATTCCTATAGACTCGCATTATAAAAGCCAAGATACTTTTCTTCAATGAAAAAAGCTCCCCCCCCCCAATTATGTAGTCTCCAAAAAGTATTGATAGATTTTCTAGCGGTAAAATTTGAAACGCTGGGTGAAAGACTTTGATTTGATCTAATTACATCTTTCTAAAATTAGTACAGAATTTTGTCATTCACTATATGAGCAACAGCCATAGGCTGACCGAGGTGGCGAGAGAGAGTCATCCTCGCGTGACCTGGCAGAACAGTATATCAACTCACTATGTAAACTCCCCGTTACTTTATATTAATGTATGTATCGTGCTGGGTAGAAGCAAGGCATATGTAAAGAAGCCCCTGACTGAGGATTACAATAACATGGAAATATACTTTAAATGGAAGAGTTTCGGATCACAACCGAGACGGACCTCGAGGCGAACATTTCACCGTGTCGTAGTGACGGTTTCATTCGTACCGAGTTGCAGAATATAGTCGTCGACGACACGTATGATTTATGAGAGGTGATCAAGGAAATAGTAGTTGATATTAGAGTGAACAGCTACAGCGATATACAGTATATCGGTCTAATTGGGATCTGCCAAATATTATTGATTAGTAAATAGTGTCGGTTTAACGTCACAATAAGAATTTAAATCGGCGCGTGCATGATCGTTCGTGTGGCTGACCTAACCAGCGACCAGCGGATTCGCTACGCCCGTTGCGTCTTCGATAATTCTCGGTTGGTTTGACGTAGATCCCATTAATAACCGCTGGCGATAGAGGCGTCCATTTCGACCGCAATCTCCGAATTAAACGGCGTGCGTTCGGAAGCCTGGGAGGATTGGCATCTCTCAAAACATCACGTATGCTCAGAGGTGTAGACGTAGAGTTAGCAACAGTTCTGAAACGGGTCGTGTAACATTGGTCGAATCACGTCGACCCCGTGGCTAAAGATATTATTTTTGGGTGACCGTACACGTCGATTATAAGCCAATACAGGAGCTTCTCGACAGACGGACGAGTCGAGTTCCCGAGGCTCGTTCGCGAGTCCGACTTAACTCTTGTAGATAATGATATACAGTAGAGCTATACCGTATATAGCCAGTACATTACGGTACAGTCGGTCCCCGACTGACGACGGGGTTAGGGACCGGCAACCGGGTCGCAAGTCGAAAATAATACCGTACATAGAAAATCTAAAACGGGTGTCAATTCTTCTTCTCGGCACCACGAGAACTCTCACTCTTACGCTTGCCAGCCATTTTAAAGGGAATTACAAACAAAAATTTTGTCGGTACACAGTGCAATCACTCACGTCAGGACTCGAAAATAGGTAATTTGAAAAAATTTTGGTACGACCGAGGCGGTCGTACGTCGAGTAGGTCGTAAGTCGAGGAGTAGCTGTATTTAACTAGTGATAACAGAAAAAGTTATTTCTTTAATGTTTTGTTTTTGTGTTTTAATGTTTTGTCTGTGAGTCGGTTCTCGTCTTCAACGTTTAGGTCACGAAGGAGGCTTAAATATATCTAGAAAAAAAAGTTTAAGCTCCTGCGTAAATATCACAATAGATTTGCACTGTCCTCTGTTTGGTCACAGCAGATTATGTGAAATTCGAGCGAGAGAGATTTAAATAATAAATCCCGCAAAATTGTGCGTTTCTCCCGGAAGCACGAAAAGAATCCGTCAATAACGTCGCAGTTTCGTTCTATGTCGGTCACGTCCACGAAATGTAGACGCTATTGGACTGTACGAAACCGGGTATGCCGATTAAATTTTTGCTCGTCCATCGCAAGAAGTTAGGTAGTTTAGATTAGATTAGGTTAGGTAGGGTTTTCAATGTTTTTTTTTAACCCTTCATGTTGAAAGTAACTTTTTTTGGAAGATTCATTGTTTTTGTTAGTGTAAGGAAATTAAGATCATATAAATTTATTAGAAAAAATCCAAATAAATACTGGTAAAATTATCGTTTTGGCCGTGCATCTATTTTCCAAAAGTCATAATCGTTCAAAATATCCATAAAAACCGTTGGAAAAAGATAATTTCAACTTTACGTAACCTATTTGAGTAATCGGTTTCTCCATGTGGTGTTAAACTATTGAGTAATGTTTATTTTTAATACAAAGTTGTTATTTGACCCGGATTCTGGGCCAAATGACCGTCGGCTATTTGACCGGGACCTGCGGGGATCGTGTGGGATTGTAGTCGGGATGGTTGGGGGCATTAAACAAGTCATTCCATTATGGTATTATTTAATTGTATAATTTCTGTTGACAAAAGGATTTAGTTTTATTTTAGATCTTTGTCAAATAACCGGCGGTTATTGTGCCGAGTACTGGTCAAATAATCCCTGCCTATAATATAATAGTTGTACAGTGTTGTGTATTATATAGGTATCTGTTACATTTCCAGGAAGCTTTAAGGACCAACAACACATCTCGGTACGACAAGTGGAGACTCGACCGTACAGACCCGTCCGGTCTCGCACACGACGCCGTTAACGGCAAACGGAGAAACGCCGCCGCCGCCGACCCGCGGGAGGTAAGACCGACGTCGTCACTTCGCGTCGGGCGTACGAGCCGAGCGTATTAGAGGACTTGTATTTAAGTGCACTTGTACAGTAATCCTATAAAAGTGGACATTTATATAAATGATTGTGTCTAAAGTCACTTCCCATTGGTGTCGGTGGTACGGGACCTCTCAAAATTGTGGCCCAGATTCACGTTTTTCATCCCAAACCAAATTTTGAATGTGTGTTTATTTCGTTATTCTTTAAAGTACAGTGCAGTATATTAATAACTTTTAGCTTCGTTTTCAAAACATAATGTCATTGTTTATTTATTATGATTCTTTACAAATGCTGTACTACTTTTTCTGCCTGTATGTTTCAATTCAGTTTATGAAACTTTTATTTGCATAGTTTTGAAGAAGACTACAGTACTTAGTACATAGTTTAAATGTTTGCATATCAACAGTGCAGTACTTTATCTTAAGTAATATTTTCAGGTACTTTCTCCATCACTGCCTAAAGTGGACCTGATGTGAACTAGAATGAAGTTGGCTGGACCTGCAGTGAAGTGGACCTGAAGCTAACTGGACCTCAAGTAGTCTGTGGTATTGTATTTAATATTGTTGTGGTACTTTGAATGTTAGGAAAGTTGTACAGGCATTCCCCAGTTTGAAAGAGTACTGTGTCTTATAAAAACCTATGGTAAATCGAATCAATATTCCTATAGACTCACATTATAAAAGCCAAGATACTTTTCTTCAATGAAAAAGGTTCCCCCCACAATTATGTAGTCTCCAAAAAGTATTGATAGATTTTCTAGCGGTAAAATTTGAAACGCTGGGTGAAAGACTTTGATGTGATCTCCAGTGCATCAGCATAAATTGGTACAGGTACATCCGGTCACTATATGAGCAACAGCCATAGACGGCGGGTAGCGAGAGAGGGAGTCATCCTCGCGTGACATACAACCGTACAGTATATGCTTTACTATAACAAGAAATCCATTAAGCTATATTAATGTATGTATCGTGCTGGGTAGAAGCAAGGCATATGTAAAGAAGCCCCTGACTGAGGATTACAATAACATGGAAATATACTTTAAATGGAAGAGTTTCGGATCACAACCGAGACGGACCTCGAGGCGAACATTTCACCGTGTCGTAGTGACGGTTTCATTCGTACCGAGCTGCAGAATATAGTCGTCGACGACACGTATGATTTATGAGAGGTGACCAAGGAAATAGTAGTTGATATTAGAGTGAACAGCTACAGCAATATACAGTATATCGGTCTAATTGGGATCTGCCAAATATTATTGATTCGTAAATAGTGTCGGTTTAACGTCACAATAAGAATTTAAATCGGCGCGTCGCCGGTCTTTTCGTGGCGGCTGATCCATCGCGATACCGCGGGTTCGCTCGCCCCGTTGCGTCTTTCCGATAATTCCTCGGTTCGTTTGACGTGAGATCCCATTAATGACCGGCACGGCGTCGGCGTCCATTTACGACACGCAATCTCAATTCGCTTGACGTGCGATCGGAAGCCTCGGAGGATTCGCATCTCTCAAAAACATACGTATACTCATTCGTGCTCAGAGGTGTAGACGTAGAGTTAGCAACAGTTCTGAAACGGGTCGTGTAACATTGGTCGAATAGCCTCGAAGCACGTCGACCCCGTGGCTAAAGATATTATTTTGGGGTGACCGTACTCGTCGATTATAAGCCAATACAGGAGCTTCTCGACAGACGGACGAGTCGAGTTCCCGAGGCTCGTTCGCGAGTCCGACTTAACTCTTGTAGATAATGATATACAGTAGAGCTATACCGTATATACCCAGCACATTACGGTACAGTCGGTCCCCGACTTACGACGGGGTCAGGGACCGGCGACCGGGTCGCAAGTCGAAAATGGGAAAATAATACTGTACATAGATGGGCGTCTCATTTTCTTCTCGGCACCACGAAACTCTCAATCTTACGCTTGCCGGCCATTTTAAAGGGAATTACAAATGAAAATGTTGTCGGTACACAGCGCAATCACTAATGTCTGCATTCAAAAATACATAATTTGACAACATTAAGACCAATCCCCACATGTGAAGGGACCCATACAAATTGAACATTATGGCCATTTTTCCGTATTGTATTTACTAATTTTCTACATGAACCAATAATGTGTCCAAAGACTGGACTCCCACTGTTCAAAGAATCCAAAGCTGCCCTACTATCAACAACAAAATATGCATCTTTATACCTCTTTACAACATTTTCCAATCCTACTAACATTGCATATAACTCAGCTTGTGTTGATGAAATAAAACTTCTCAACCAAAGTCCAATTTTGATGTCATCATTTCCTTGTTCTGTGTACTGTCTTATAAGGATCCCGCACCCTGCCCTGCCACTTGACATAACTGAACCGTCACAAAAAACATGCAATGTGTTTATTTTAGGCAAATTACTAATCTTATTCCCATATAAAGCCCTTAACTGTCCTGGTTCATGTAATGATTTCTTCATTGTGAGAGGCACTATGTCTAACTCTACTTCTCGTTCTTCCCAGGGTGGATTCTTACAACTCTTCTGAACAGCTGTACACCAGTCTGCCAGATTACATTTTTTAATAATATTTACTAATCCATTCATGTATCCTCTCTTGCCTTGCCTGCAGAAGGTCCTTTTATCTTTTAAACCATCATTTATATCTTGTACAAATTTACCCCCACTGTTCCCTCTCATTAATCGAACTGCTGCAACTGTATTAATTTCATTGACCCTCTGTGAAATGCTCTGTAACCCTAGTTCCATTTTCATTATCTCAATCATTGCATTCTTTTGACACCCTAAAATAATTCTCATTGCTTCATTTTGCATGATCTCAAGCTTCCGTAGCCTTCCTTCACCAATACAAGAGAGGACAGGTGCTGCATAGTCTATAAGTGATCTGATGGTAGAAATACACATCATTCTCAGTATGGGTACCCCAGCACCTTTACCACAACATGCTAGAGCCTTCAAGGGCTGTAATCTTGCTCTACATTGAGTGAGGACATGATATATTTCTGCCTCTTTACTTTCACTAGTAAAGCCAATATACATTCCTAAATATTTATACTTTGACACTTTCTCAACAATTTTTCCATTTAGAAAAACGGATTCAGTTCCTCTTCCTTTACATTCACACTTGGTTTTTTCTTCATTCATAACTAAGCCCATCTTTTGAGAAAGAACACTAAAATCATTTAATGCAATCTGCAAATTTTTTACAGAGTTTCCTTGAAATAAGATGTCATCTGCATAAATGATGGTTACAACTCCTTTGGGATATTTGTGTGAGGCTATCTTGTTCATTAACACATTAAATAACATTGGACTCAATACTCCCCCTTGGGGAGTGCCTAGTTCAAGTGCTCTTTCCTCAGACAAACATCCCTGATACCATACACAGATTCTCCTTCCATGCAAGTAGTCACCTATCCAGTGTAACAACTTTCCTGATACCCCTAGAGCAGCCAGTTCACTCATAACTACTTCACTGTGAGCTTTATCAAATGCTCCTTGTAAATCCACAAAAACTCTACATCTGTCTGCATCATTTGATAAACATTTTATAACACAGTCTGAAGTACATTTCCCTTCCAAAAAAACAAATAAATTACAAGATAGATTTTCCCCCACAATATATACAAGCCTATTTAATAATACTCTCTCCATCATCTTGGAAAAACAAGATGTTAAAGACACTGGCCTGTATCCACCAGTTGCCTTAGGGAAAGGAATAACTATCGCTTTCTTCCATTCTGTTGGTAATCTACCCTCTGCATAGCTCATGTTGAATAAATCTAATAATGGACTATTTTCCATACCAACTAAGCAGTTCAAAATTTCATATGTCACACCATCTTCGCCTGGTGCTGTAGATTTTCCTTTTTTAACAGCATTTAATAACTCATCTTGAGTAATATCTACACATGTTACATCACAAATATTTAGAGCTGATGAAATAAATCTTTTTCTTTCATTTTGCCACTCATCTAATGCTTCTATTGTCCTGTTAGGCAGGGAGGCAACACTAGCAGCTTTAGCCCATTTGTCAACCAGTTTATTAGCTTCTTCCTCTGGATGAGGATGGCTAATAAAATTACTCCTTTTTCCTCTAATTTTGTTAATATCCTGCCATATTTCTTTGAGATTTTTACTCTCCCCAATGTGCTGTGCAAAATCTTGCCAATATTTCTCCCTTGCCTCCTTCCTAGCCTGCCCACATATTTTGGCTATATCCATGAAGATTTCCCTATCTTCTTCTCTTCTACCATTCTTTACCCAATCTTTATGTGCTGCCCTTAACATTTGTGTCCATCCCTTCAACATTTTGTCATTGGTATAGCAGTGTTTCCTAGCCCCATGTCTCTTATCATTTATTTTTTTCTGTGTTGACTTAGTCAAATATATTTCTATCTCCCCAACTAAGTCATTATAAAAGCTATCCATACAGACTGGTGTATAATTTCTGTACCATTTCTCTATATTTTGGGTAAACACTTCTGTGTCATCCTTGTTTAGTTTCAATTTCTTCCTCCTATATCTCACCTGTCTCTTCCCTAATGGTAATTGAACATACACAACAAAATGGTCACTGACTAGCTCCCTTATTATCTCACATTCTCCCTGGACTCCCTGACTGCTTATCATGCAAGCATAGTCTAACCTTCCTCCTTTAATATGAGTCACTTCCTTATTTCCTAACAAGTAAGAATCTGGGTGATCTTGTAAAAATTGCCAAAATTTTATACCATTTCTATTAATTCTCCCCATTGTTTCGAGTCTTGGATGTCGAGCATTAAAATCTCTTACAGCCAAAGTTGAGTCCAAAAACATGCAATCTGGTAAGAAGTTGAGGTCAAAACAGCATCCAGAAATATACAAATTTGCTATGTTCAGTTCTCCTTCCTTCAAATATAACTTTATACAGACACTTTCTATTCCTTGTACTCTACTCGGGTTTCCAACTAGTTCTGCTGGTATGGAATTCTTAATGTATGTTGAGACCCCTCTTATACCTTTACCCGAATAGAGATGAAATCCCTTATATCCAGACAGTTTAAGCAGGTCGCCTTTCCTGTCCCTGTAACGGGCCGCGTTTTCTCTTTTCAATAATTTACCATCCAGCTACTGTTTTCTGTTAGTATTCTATTTACTCGTATACTTATTTGTTCTATGTAGCATTCCTCCAATGAGTACCCTGTTTAATATACTTATTCTCCTTCCATTCTTTACATATATATTTATTCTTATATGTTCTTTACCTCTATATACCTTATATTCTTATATGTTCTTATATAAGTAACTCTTATGCTTCTCCACTTATGTTTTCCAAGTCAAGGTTCTTTCTTTTCATTTCCTTTCATATAAATTGTATTTTCAGTTTCAATGTTCTTACCTTTCTGAAGTATACTTTGTTTTATGTCTTTCTTATACATGGGTTAGTCTGGGGAACCATGTTATTCTTTGTATAACACTTTTTATACTTACAAGGGGTAGCTGCCACCACCCAGACTTTTCATTATATAACAGAACTCATGGAAGGGTTTTGGGTAGTGTGGTAGATGTATAGGCACGTGAGTAAGTATTATTTTCTGGGAACCAATGTTTAGAAGGAGTAGAGTGGTGATACTCAGATTACTAACTCAATATTTATTAATACAGTGAGTGGAGAAGATGCATCTTAGATTCACTCAGGCTAAACAGAACCGAAATTAACTTATTAAGTCATCAAACACTTCAAGAACTTATTACCTCATTAAACACCTCCAAATATTCATTACTTTATTGGATACTGTTGTAGTATTTCTGTGACAAGTAAGATTTAGCAATGCTTACACACTGTCAATAACCCTGGACCCGCAGGTCTTACTTTAACAAGGAACAAATTACCTTCTCAATTCGTGGTTAGAACCTCATACTCTCAGGTTATTCTTTCATGGGTACTACAGATGAATACATAACACATTGGACTAACTCCACAATTATAGTAACATACAATACCTCCTGTTAGTTTGCAAGGAACAACCTGGTACCTTGAACTCTCATTCAGTGGTTCAATACTTAACCTGGGATGACTATATTTCTGCTAGTCATCCCTAAGCATGGATATTAATACGGCTCCATACATATAACCAAGAACAGTGGGTAGACCATGATCATATGACGGAGTCAGTAGGCCAGAGTTGTTTACAGGCTCGCTCGCTAGCTCGGAGCGCCTGGCCCAGGAAAAGTTGACTGTGGCGGTGGGCCGTGGCGTCTGCCAAGGAATCTCGCCCTGGGATTCTCATCTCGCCACCTTAAAGACGTCTTAAGGCTAGCTAGATCCAGGATTAATATTTACACATTTTATATCCTTTCCAATCAGATTCTTTAAGAAGGCCCAATCCTCCTGCACAGATTCCCATTTCCTCAAAAGTTTTTCTTTATCAGCATCTTTACACTTTACCAACACCTTTTTAAAACTTTCAGTTGTTGCTCCCTGCGCTACACAATCCTTTATTTTCCTCTCCTTCCCTGTAATACTTATTTTAAGCACTGAATTTTTCAAAGGCTTGAGCTCTTCACTTTCCTCTTTCCCTTTTAATTCTACATTATTCACAGCTTTGTTTTCCCTTTCTTTATTTATCACTGTATCAAGTCTTTTCTCTATCACTTCTATTTTCTGACCTAACTTTTGCAAAAGCTGAAACATCTTAAGCACCTCTTCTCCCAGAATTTCTTGCACAGTTTTATCACTAACCTGGAGGGCTGCACCACTACTCTCACTTGCTACTTGTTTATTACTCTCTTTGTTTCTGGCATCAACAACGCTTCCGGCCGCAAGCGCAGTCCTTATCCTTCTTGAATCTTCATGCCAGGCATTCTCAGGAATCACTGTCTGTGTGTTCTCCTGCTGTCTTGTCACTGTCAGACCACAGCGTACTTCCTCGGTGTTCTCTGAATAATTCCTTTGTTGGTCACTTCTCATACGTGGCCTCATCTCGCATGCAATTGAACTAGCATTGAGAGTTTTACCACACTTACAACAACAAGGCTTCACTTTCTCTCCTGCTTTGATCTTGTCCTTACAGTTGCTAGATTCGTGCCTCTTCCCACAGAATCTACAACGTGGGTCCAGTTGACAGCTCCAGGCCTTATGTCCCCATCTGCAACACTTGAGACACATTATTGGTCCCCCCACATATAGTGCCACCTTCCTATACCCTGCTCCTGTGATGAACACTTTCTCTGGAACCTTTCCTCTCATTAGAGCAATAACCTGGCTTCTCTCTTCGCCCCTTATTAAATGCCTCTTGACCCAAACAAATCTTTCGTCATCCAATAAGTATTCTGGGTCTAGTATTACAGGGTACCTGAAGATTATAACCTTTGTAAGTAGTATGTCGCTCTCCTCTGGCAAAACCATCAGTAATCCCTTGTACCCAACAGTTGTCAACATTTCCACAGCCTGTAAGATAAGGCTTGTGTGTGCCTTCTTTCAAAAGAGGCTCAAAGCTGCGATGCTCCCGTCCTAGTTGTACTGCCCATTTTAATTTTTCAAGGAAGGTCATCGGGCATGACTGGAAAAATTAATCTCTTCCTGACACGACCAACTTCACCTTGTGTGTGTTCTTGTCTGCTTCCTTCAAATTCCATACTTTGCTCTGTTCTTGATCCATTCTCCACTATCTCCTTTCTGTTATTTCCATTATTATTACCACCCACACACGTTTTTTGTCCTAGATGATTTTGTCTCTTCTCCTCTCTCACTTCTTTGCTTTCACTGTCCTCATGCCAGCTTGTCTCCCTCATTGTTTTAGAATTTTCTTTCTTATTCACTACCTCTTGTTGTAGCTGTATTTTCTCACTTTCGAACTTCCCTTGTGCTTCATCACTCGTATTAGACTCATCACTACTCAACTCAAGGTCTTCAAGAACTTCGTCCAATACTATCTTTTCTTTACTCTTCCATGTAGAGTTCTTAAGCGAAAATTCACTTTCCGTGGGGCAATGTTGACATCCCACAACACCCAGCCAGGAGTGATGGGACCCCGAGCAGTTATTTTTGTAAGGTAAACAGTAAGTTCCCAACACTAAAGTTGCTTGACGATACTTATCTTATCCTCGGGTCCTTATACACAAGTAGGTAAGTCTATATATCCTTCAGTTAATGTAATAAGCTCGAAAACATCCCAAATTTGGGAGCTAGCGCTCACAGCTGTGTTTACCGGACCAAAAAAATGGCCGCTCCGTCGTATGTCGAGTAGGTCGTAAGTCGAGGAGTAGCTGTATTTAACTAATGATAACAGAAAAAGTTATTTCTTTAATGTTTTGTTTTTGTGTTTTAATGTTTTGTCTGTGAGTCGGTTCTCGTCTTCAACGTTTAGGTCACGAAGGAGGCTTAAATATATCTAGAAAAAAAGTTTTTGCTCCTGTGTAAATATCATAATAAATTTGCACTGTCCTCTGATTGGTCACAGCAGAGAGATTTAAATAATAAATCCCGCAAAATTGTGCCTCTCTCCCGGCAGCACGATAAGAATCCGTCGAGATCGTCGCAGTTTCGTTCTACGTCGGTCGCGTCCACGAAATGTAAACACTATTGGACGCGTACGAAACCGGGTATGCCGATTCGGTTTTTGTTGGTCCATCGCAAGAAGTTAGGTAGTTTAGATTAGGTTAGGTAGGGTTTTCAATGTTGTTTTTTTAACCCTTCATGTTGAAAGTCTAACTCACTTTGGAAGATTCATTGTTTTTGTTAGTGTAAGGAAATTAAGATCATATTTATTTATTAGAAAAAATCCAAATAAAAACTGGTAAAACTATCGTTTTGGCCGTGCAGCTATTTTCCGAAGGTCATAAAAGTTGAAAATACATCAAAAACCATTGGAACAAGATTATTTCAACCTAACCTAACCTATTTGAGTAATCAGTTTCTCCACGTGGTACTAAACAAACAAGTGCCTTTATTATAAGTGTACGAAGATGTTATTTGACCACGATTCTGGGCCAAATAACCGTCGGCCATTTGACCGGGACCTGCGGGGATCGTATAGGATTGTAGTCGGGATGGTTGGGGGCATTAAACAAGTCATTACATTATGGTATTATTTAATTGTATAATTTCTGTTGACAAAAGGATTTAGTTTTATTTTAGATCTCTGTCAAATAAGCGGCGGTTATTGTGCCGAGTACCGGTCAAATAATCCCTGCCTATAATATAATAGTTTTACAGTGTTGTGTATTATATAGCTATTGGTCACATTTCCAGGAAGCTTCAAGGACCAACAACACATCTCGGTACGACAAGTCGAGACTCGACCGTACAGACCCGTCCGGTCTCGCACACGACGCCGTTAACGGCAAACGGAGAAACGCCGCTGGGAGGTAATACCGACGTCGTCACTTCACGTCGTGTCACTGGGCGTACGAGCCGAGTGTATTAGAGTACAGGTTGTACCTCTCTAGTCCGGCATTCTGTGATCCGGAACGATTTTAGTTTGTCCAATAGGTAGATAGGCAGCTTTTTTTTTTTTTTAATCTTGATTATTATTATTATTATTATTATTATTACAGGAGTATTAAATTTTTGCCCCTCAGGCCCCAATGTGGGTCAGTGACCTATGCCCGGGTGGGCTAATCCCCGTAAAAAAACAACAACGACAAAGCCGGGGGAAATTAAGGTTTGTTTACATCCGGCAGCTCTCTCTCTGTGCTTGTCTATACAGAGCATAACATTTAACCCTTCAATATATATTCTAGCAGTAAATAAGTGTTGCTTTCATATTCTTAAGTAGAGTAACGACGACATGTTTTCACGTGTGCGCACTTACATACGCTCAGTTTCACTTTTTTTTTACCATTGATGGTTAGCTACTTATATTGTTCCATTTATTAACATTAAATAACATTACTTCAAACAAGCATATTAATTTTTTTACATTAATTTTACTACAGCTACAATCAGGGTCTTATTTTCTTCAGTTTTATATGTAGAACCAATCTGTCACCGGTTTTGTAAGCTTTAACAAAAACAATGCCGGCAGCCGTCTCGTCTCGTCGCGCGTTTTAATATTACACGTATTAGTAATAAATTGTATTGTTAATTTTGCACACACAAACATTAATTCAATAAAAACAAATTCAGAAACATTAATTAAAATATATATGAACAGTAAATAAGTGTTGCTTTCACATTCTTACGTAAAGTAATGACGATACGTTTTCACGCGTGCGCACTCGCATACGCGATCTCTGTTTTTCTTTACCATTATCGTTAGCTACTTCTATTGTTCCATGTATTAACATTACTTAAAAGAACCATATTAATTTTTCTACAGCTACAACCGGGGTCTTATTTTCTTCAGTTTTATACGTAGAACCAGTCGGTCACCGTTTTTGTAATCGACGAAAACGGTGCCGTCTCATTTCCTCGCGTTTTAATATTGAGCGTATTATTAATGAATTGTATTGCTCATTTTGCACACACTAACATTAATTCAATCCAAAAGACTTTCAGTAATAAATAATAACGAATCTTTCGTACATAAGAGAAATAACGCCGTTTACACGATCGTGCACGTCGTCCGAACGTCGGCGGGCCATTCAAACCCGTCGAAATTTGAGTTTCCGCCGTCAAAAGTTTTAAATGTGTCGGCTTTTTTTGTGCGTTCAAATAGAAAACGTCGAATTAAAAACTCGCGAAATTTGAGAAGGTACTGTACGACATTTAACCCTTCAATATGTCTTCAAAGAGACCACGAAGCAGAGAAAGTGGTGCTAGTGCTTCCAAGTGTAAACAGAAGTCACTATCTGTCCAGGAAGAGGGCGAATTTCCACGGTCGGGAAATTTCCGGCGTCCGGCACCGGTCGGGTCCCGTGGTTGCCGGACCGGAGAGGTACAACCTGTACTTGTATTTCAGTACACTTGTACAGTAATCCTATAAAAGTGGGCATTTATGTAAATGTTTGTGCGTAAAGTCGCGTCCCATTGGCGTCGGCGGTACGCGACACTTCCAAAATATGGCCCAGATTCACGTTTTTCATCCCATACCCAATTTTGAATGTGTGTTTATTTCGTGGTTCTTTAAAGTACAGTACAGTATATTAATAACTTTAACTTTCGTTTTCAAAACATAATGTCATTGTTTATTAATTATGATACTCTATAAATGCTGTGGTACTCTAAATACTTTTTTCTACTTATATGAATCAGTTGAGTTGAGTAAACTTTTATTTGCATAGTTTTGAAGAAGACTACAGGACATAGTTTAAATTTTTACATATCAACAGTGCAGTACTTTATCTTAAGTAATATTTTCAGGCACTTTCTCCAACACTGCCTACAGTGGACCTGATGTGAACTAGAATGAAGTTGGCTGGACATAAAGTTTACTGGACCTCAAGTAGTCTGTGGTATTGTATTTAATATTGTTGTGGTACTTTGAATGTTAGGAAAGTTCTACAGGCATTCCCCAGTTTGAAAGAGTACTGTGTCTTATAAAAACCTATGGTAAATCGAATCACTATTCCTATAGACTCACATTATAAAAGCCAAGATACTTTTCTACAACGAAAACAGTTCCCCCCAAATTATGTACGGTCCCCCAAAAAGTATCGATTGAATTTTCTAGCGGTAAAATTTGAAACTCTAGATGAAATACTTTGCTGTGATCCCCAGTGCATCAGCATAAGTTGGTACAGGTACATCCGGTCACTATATGAGCAATAGCCGTAGACGGCGGGTAGCGAGGGAGTCGTCCTCGTGTGACATACGACCGTACGGTATATGCTTTACTATAACAAGAAATTCATTGAGCTATATTAATGTATGTATCGTGCCGGTTAGAAGCGAGGCCCCGACCGAGGATTACAAAAATATCGGAATATACATTAAACGGAAGAGTTTTGGAACGTCACGAGCTAGACCGAGACGGACCTCGGGGCATACGTTTCGCCACCGCGTCGTAGCGACGGTTTTATTCGTACCGAGATGCACAATGTAGTCGTCGACGACACGTCTGATTTTTGAGGAGTGACGGAGCAAATAGTAGTTGATATTAGAGTGAACAGGTACAGCAATATACAATATATTGGTCTAAATGGGATCTGCCAAATATTATCGATACGTAAATGGCGTCGGTTTAACGTCAAAATAAGATTTTAATCGGCGCGTCGCCCGTCGTTTAGCGGCGGGTAACCCATCGCGATGCCCGAGGGTTCGCTCGCCCCATTGTGCCGAGTTATTCGAGCGTTGCGCGTACCCTCGTCGCGAAGGCTAATAATAGCGCCTCTCTCCCCGTTGTGTCTTTCCGATAATTCCTCGGTTCATTTGACGTACGATCCCGGTAATGACCGGCTCGGCGTCCGTTTACGACACGCAATCCAAATTCGCGCTACGTGCGATGCGAATCCTCGGAGGATTTGCATCTTTCAAAAACACATACAGTCGTGCGCCGGTTAACATCCGATAGCAGAAATAAGAACCGAACTTGCTGGAATGACGTACATATTATAGTGGGAAGTGGGATAAAATCACGAGGAAAGACTTTCGCTTTCTTTCGTTGTTCAAAATATTTTACCGTAATCGCTTTTCGAATGGTTTTCAGTTAAAAAACTGTTGTATTACAATAATATTCTATCCTAATTCACTTGTGATGCAACAGTTTTTTAACTGAAAACCATTCGAAAAGCGATTACGGTAAAATATTTTGAACAACGAAAGAAAGCGAAAGTGTTTCGTCATGATTTTATCCCACTTCCCACTATAATATGTACGTCATTCCAGCAAAAATATTACATTTCCATATTTATTTCCGCGAATATATTCATTCAGTCACGGTTAAGGTAAAATATACTTGTGATGTAATATTTTAATGAAAATCCAGTATCGTAGTTTTTTCTTGTTTCAAATTTAATTAACAAAGATTGATGCTTGAAATGTAATGAACAAAAATTTATGTCCAGTATCTACGAGTTAACTTTAATGAATGAATACTTTGTTTTACATCGTCCTGTGCTACCATACCATGGATTTGGCTACTTTGGGCTCGCAAGAGATCTGCCCTGGCAACTGTACCGACACTCACAGCTGGTGGTGTGTTGGTGCATCGTTTCCATTGTTTTCTGGTAGTTACTGGTAAATATTTTTCAACCTAACGAAACTATTACCCGTTAAGAGGTCGACCCCCAATTTTTGCCAAATAATTTTGTCTTAAAAACTCGAACTACACACAGGTATATACGGTAAATAAGGACATGGGGGGGCCAGGGATTGTTTTTTGGGGGGGGGTAGCAATAGTACACGGATTTTTAACATTCACGGGTATCTCTGTTACCTAACCCCCGCGAATGTTAAGGGCCGACTGTACTTCAATTACTTCAATGTACAGAATATTCCTCTGGCGGGGCAATCCGCAGATTTGCGAATCCGTGAATGCTAAACCCGCGTATGTGAAAGGCCGACCGTACGTCCTGCCCCCCCTCGAAAAAACACTTCCGTGATGCCTGCTGGACCACCACTCCAAGACCCCCTGACGGAGACACGACGCTCCTTCCCATACTGGCTAGATGTCATGTGTTAAAGGAATATCATTCCTTAGGCTTTAGTAAGCATTTTCCTCCATGTGTAATGTTAACCTACATCTATTGAGGTTTTAATCTTTCACCTACACATTGACAATAACACATTTGCTGTAATCGGACATATCTAGTTGCCTCAACAATTGCAACCCTAGTTGCAATTGGGGTTGCAATTTCAAATTCTGTGTCATTACCGAGGAATAACGAAGTCTCTGGTGCACCGCACTCTAAGATGAAGAGAAAATGGGCTCGGGCATCCCGAAGCGAGAGAAAACGGACTTCCACGATGGGAGACGCAAGCACTAACACGTGCCACTCGTGCCGAGAGACTCGACAAGTTTTACCAACCATTAGTTATGTATGTTATCTAGTGAATTTAGTCAATATTGTACAGTATAAGTACACTGCAATACAGCGGTCCCTCGGTTAACAACGGACCCGAGTGCAAACCCGTACTGTACGTGTACTAAATGATCGCGGTACTTAAATTGTTATGTCTATGGCAAATATAGATTGTTTATACAGATATTCAAATACTATCTTACAAGTTATATTCACCCAGGTCGTTTGGGTGGCAAATTATGAGAAGAGCTCAGTCACTCTTAAGTAATGATAAATAAATACTCGGGCAGGCCTTCAGCGCCAACTGTCAAATCTTATCTCCAATAAATAAAGAGAGACTGTCACCTCACTTCCCCCCTCCCCCTTCTTCCCACGCTCGCTGGCTACCTCGCCTCCTTGTGTTCCCAGACAAAACATTGGTGATAACTTTATGCTTTAAGGTGTTTATTTTATATAATATCTCAGACTAAAGTTAGGGGATTACAATTTGCATAGCTGGAATCCTTGCAAGACAGCCAATAATTTGAATATAAGCATTATATATATTTTGTTGAAGATTTAAAAATTGTAGTACATTTTATAATATAAAGTTTTTCAACTGTATTTTTGGGTAGATTTATATCAATTTCTTCATTTATTTTCATCCATTTACATGCACATACCATAATAAAAGAAATAAATGACCTCGGTGCAAAGCCGGAGTGTTCTTGTACTAATTTGATTACGGTACAAAAATTGTTATGTCCAGTGCAAATTACAACATGTTTACCGGGTATATTCAAATTAATCAGTTACAAGAATCCCAGCAATGTTAATTATATTGTACCAGGTCATTTCACTGGCATTTTAAAATGAGAGAAGCTCAGTAGGACTGTTAAATAAACACACAGAGACCTTCGGCTCAAACTGTCAAACGTATCGTCTTAACTCTCTCCCCCATCTGTTCAGCCAGGGTTTTAGGCTTACAGTTTTTATCTTACATAATATTTCAGACTAAATTTAGGAGATTATAATTTGCATTGCTGGAATCCTTGCAAGACAGCCAATAATTTGAATGTAAACGTCATATATTTTGCTCAAGAGATAAAAATTGTTGTACATTAGTGTACAGTACTGTAGTACATTTTATAATATAAAGTTTTTCAACTGTATTTTTGGGTAGATTTACATCAATTTCTTCATTTATTTTCATTCATTTACATGCACACACCATACTAAAAGAAATAATTGACCTTAGTGCAAAGCTGGAGTTTTCTTGTACTAATTTGATTTCGGTACTAAAATTATAGCATGTTTATATACAAATTAATCAGTGTATTACAAGAATCCCAACAATGTTAATCATATTCACCCGGGTCATTTCCTGGCCGGGAAAAAACTCGCCACAGACCCGGGCGCCAACCGTCGGTGTCACCGGGCTTTATCTTAAATAATATCACAGACAAAAGTTAGGAAAATTTAATTTGCATTGCTAAAATCGTTACAAGACAGCTAATAATTTTAATATAAATGTTGTATATTTTGCGCAAGAGATAAAAATTTGTAGCCCTTTGAAATAAAATTAGTTCCAACTAAAATTTGTATGTGAACTATAGCATGTTTATATTCAAAGTAATCACAA